CAACACTAAGAGAACACGGCATTCTTTAATCATACCCCAAAAACTTGGTAAACCATGGTAAATGTAGAGCAAGAAAAGTTGTATGTCTAACTTGTTGTTTACGGAATTATCTTTAAAATAGGAAATAATTTACATTTATAAACCTTGTTTATTCAATGTTTTCCAGGTTTTTATTTTAAGAAAAGTCAGTAGCATGCCACTGACTTGCTATGTTGAAAGCTTTACCACCCTGTATCTCAAAAGTTAAGAGGTCTATACTCCTATGAAGTTTTCTTGTTGAAGCGGAATCAAAAAATCGCCCTTTCAAATATTGACATCCAGTCAGGAAACTATACACAATGTGTTATTAAAGTATGTAGACAAACTTCAACCATCGAGTCCTTGGTCAATTCGAAGACGAAATTTCCATATGTTTTCTAGCTAGAGCATATTAGTACTAAAAGAAATGATGATATTGTTCTAAAAAATTATGAAACAATGGAACGTATTTTATTTTAATTAAGTATGCCCTGTGGTGAATATCACATGACAGTCAGTTGTTTACAGACCCTCCATGTACGTAGATACGGATAATGTTATCCAGTATTTTTTGAAAAAGTAGCATGACATTGATTTGTTTTGATCGCAATACGTTTAATATTTAAGCTTTGTGCTTATCTAGACACCTATGACGTACCCGAAACAATTGAATTAATTTATTTTGAGCCTCAGCAACTTGTAAAACATGCAAAATTTATCATAGGTTATATATACCAACTGTTCATTAAATGCGTTTCATTATTCATAGAAATATTTGGAACATTACTCGTATTTCTTTAGTGATACCTAGTGCTCTAGCTCGAAAAGAAAGCCGCTACGGACCCATGTCCATATGAACATTTAGTCTTCAAATTGACCAAGGATTCGATGGTTAAAGTTTGTCTACATACTTTATTAACACCCTCTATAGTAGTATAGCATACTAATTACGATTTCTGTTCCTGATTGGAGTCTTTATCTGATGACAGGGTAGTTGCTTTGGGACCCCAGTCCAGATTTTTTTTAAATTCATGATTTATGTATGTTAGTAGTCCCTGACTCGGATCCAGGTGCTAAGCAAACGTTAGGCCAGGTTTAATGAAGGATCCACACGTTTGTGAGTACGTTAGTTTGCTCAGGCAAAGCAGGTATAACCAATTTGACGTCATGAAGCGTGAATGATCGGCACCAATCTCTATCTGTCCTGCGGAATCCAAAGTAATCTGTGCTACTTCTCTTGTAATAAGTCTAACCACTTAAAGCAAATATATTAAATATTTTTCAATAGGATATCTATTAGTGTGTCGTACGAAGGCTTACCTGCGAAGATAGAGCACAAGTTACGAGGAAAAAATGTAAGCATTTTTTAGACGTCATATTCCTGATACTTTCAAGACGCACTGGATATGACAACGTATCAGCTATTTACTGGAGGTCGCTCAATGACAAAACAAGTGACTGGTATAACGGTCCAATCACATTTATTCAGTGTAACAATGTTCAGCTTGCAACAAATATGAATTGTATAAATTATTACCGAATTGTTCATACATTTATTTTTGTTTCTCAACCTATCCATTTAAAAACTATTCCGCTGCTCGTTTTCTGATAAAGTTTCTATATGACTGATTTATTACATCAGCCTTCTATGAATTTGGACTATTGGTAGGAAAAATTAATGAAATGATATGCTCCTATGGTACTGATTGAGGAAAAGACACGCATCCGTAAATGTATAGAGTTTTCCAACATAAAGCTTCACGGCGTGCTTAGAATAGGGGTGGTTAAACCTTCTGATAAGAATATTTAAGGATTTTACCTCCACTATTTTAACCTAAATATCTCCAAAACGATTAATCTGACAAAAATTCCAGATAATACAAATTTTATGGAAAATTGAATGGTATTTTATAAAATGCAATTCTTTCCTCGGAAAAGGCCAGTGGCGTGGAAAATATTTTCTATTAGGGGTCCAAGTACCCCAGTCTCTACGTCCATGGTTTAGTTTAGGCCTGTTCATTGCTGATGATGTATCTCGGTAAGGGAGCATCTTTGAACGTTTATAGGAACTTTTTTTGTTATTTTTGGATGTATTTTACACTTTAGAAATATTAGAACGTGTTTCGGACACACCCTTTATACCTAATACGGCGTATTATGTTTATAAATAGTTGATAAATATATGTTGAGACTCTTCAGGATTACATGCCTGTGAATTTTTATATAAGCATATATTTTTTATTAACAGATTGATGAAAAATACCTAAAATATGAACCACTAATTACTAAAAAGTGCCAATTATGCATAATTTTATATTCTTCAAAGATTCTTGAAGCCGCTCCACACTCACGCGAGAATCTCGCCGATTTTCTCGGCAAGAATCTCAGCTAAAATCTCGGCGAGAACTTCTTTGGGTCCACACTCTCAAGGTTCTCAATACAGTTATCGTGTTCGATGACGACGGACGCAGAATTAAATGTCGCGACAAGCTTATTACTCAGCACATACCCTCGGTAGCTGGCTAATCACGATTTATTTTGCTTTTCAATTCTTCAATGAGTATTTCCTTCAAGATACCAATACGTTTCCACGCATTTCAAGTAGCTGCATGAAATTATCGTCGCATTAGCAACTAGAGCCATAACCTGTATTTTGCATCGATCTTCGGCCATGACTTTTTTACTATTAGTCGGATCTTTTTACGTTTGGTCTCATTCTGTAGGTCTCGTAAATACCTAAAAATCTTATCCAAAGAGTTTTTTGGTTCCTGACACGTTTGCCATTCTTTGTTGTCGAATAAAAAGTTTTCCCACAAAAATTGGTATACCCATTTTATGCGTCCATGTTTTGAATACCCCCTTGAATAACTTGCATCAATAAAACTAGACTTTACATCATTTCGGGAAAATTTGCTAATATGATTAGACTAATAAATATAGGTCCAGAAATGCTTCATTTTCAAGGTACAGGGTGTCAAAGTTTCTTTAAAAAATCGGTTTTCCTAAATAACTTAATGATTTTTCAGCCAATTTTGTTCAAAATTACAGTGGCTTCAAGCGCTACTTTAGCCCCAATTAGATTTAAATTATTAAGTTCAGTGGGGTCACGAAAAACACCCTAACCAATATCTTTGACAAAAAATTGTACGCCACTTCATTTCCATTTTTTTAATTTTTTTTATTGATGTGAGCAGCTAAAAATGCAACTTTTATGTCTTTTGAGTTTCTTTCATATCTCACTTAGTTTGCGAAATAAATAAAAAGCACCTTATTTCATGTTTTTGATAATTAAGTTACACGAAAGTGGTCTTCTGAATTTTTTTGCTCAGATTATACCTGCTTTAGATAAAACAAATAAACGTAAAATATTTACATAACATTATTGATTGTTGCAATGTTTTCCCAGTGGCGTTGAACATTGGTAACGCTGGAAATTAAAAAAAAAATCGAACCGAAAAAACGTCTTTTTAAGACCACACTCAAACTTTTATTTCAATGAAAACATAAAATAGTTGCTGAAAATGCCCTCAATGCACGCATTAGCTCATCTTAGCATTGATTGCCGAACTCGTTGGGATATTCCCGACGTATGTCTTATCTGATCACATGAATCTCGTATCCGTTGGGTTAATTCTTCTAGTGTTGACTGGAGCTTTGTAAACGAGGGAGTTTGAAAGCCCCCCAAAGAAAAAATCCAGCGGACTTGAATCCGGTGACTTGGGTGGCCATGACTGTGGACCTGCGCGCCCGATCCAGTTTTCTCCAAAAGTTGCATCCAAAAATTGGCAAGCTACTATGCTGAAGTGAGGTAGAACACAATCGTGCTTAAACCATATTGCTCCTTTTACTTCAAGCGGGACATTTTCTAGTATTTCAGGTAAGATAAATTCAAAGAAATTACGATACTTTTGACATTTAATTTCGGGAATAAAAAATGGGGTCCAATGAGATAATTACCTACAATACCAATCCAAACGTTGTTGATAATTAACTTCTGTGACCGCATGGGGATTTTCTTCAGCCCAGATATGATTACTGTGAAAATTCATAATTGAATTTCGGAAAAAACACGTTTCATCAGTATATGAAATACGGGTTAGAACTCTTAGAAACGATACCTGCTGTTACAAAAGCCAAGTACAATAAACGACTCGTTGAGGAAAATCGGAAGGTAATAACGCTTGAATGTATGTGGTAAAGCTACAGTTAATAATTATTTCCTTAAAATCTGCCATACAGTAAATGAGAGATGTTTAATTAAGCCAATTTTGACAGTTCGTAACTAATCAACAATTTATTTGTTTCCAAGGATGATGCGATATTCTAGGGAATTCAGCCGTTCCATAATAGACGTGCTAATAACCGAAAACATAGCCGTAAAAGCCCGTATGTCTGGTATCAAAAAAAAAATCTTATATAAAATTGAATCCAAACCTGCACAAATATACAGGGTAATGCATTTGAAATTTTTGAGAAAAACTACAATTTGCGTTTTTGACCACCCTGTATGAGCAAAAATTAAAATTCGAAAGAGTAACCAATAAGATAAAAGCTGAGGTGTGTCAGTTTTTTTTACAAAATTCAGTACTCCAAATTTCAAAATGGCGGACTGAGAGGTTGCCGAAGTGGGGGTTTTTCTAGTCAAAACATCTTATATCTCAGTAGCTAATTACCAAAACCTCATAGTATGTCATATCAGTTTTCTTCTTTTGAATTAGTTTATTCAAATATGTATTAAAATTTGAGGCATTACATTTGAAAAATCACAACTTTGATATGTAAGTGGAAATTGGGACACCCTGTATAATGGCCAATATTTTAGAAATGTACCCTCAAATGTCATGAATAGATTTTCCCAAAATGTATTTGTTTTTGAGTAATATTTCGCCCACACTTGGATGGGCCACCCTGTAAAGAGTAAAGAGAAAAAGGAAAACATTACGGGACGTGACATTCGGAAATAAACAGAAATAAAACAACGATCTAGATAAATTATATAATTGTAACAATGGCGTACCATCTGGTTACATTAATATTTTTTTATCCCTCATACACTGCTCAACTACATTTAAGTATCCATGAGCCTTCTTGGCAGTTCTGTCAACTGCCTTAGTAAAACATACCACAGCTCGCTCTTGGAACGCATTCAGCAATGAAAGGGTATCGGAAGCCTGTTTGGCAATTCCGTTGGGCATTTTGAAAGCTGCAGCACCAACCGCAAGGCTGACTTTTCCAATGCATACTAAAGAAGTGGCTTTGAGACATTTGACTGCCTCTTCCGCGATACCAGCCGCTTCTTTCGTAAATGATTTGAACTGCAAGAAAGAAAAATATTATAAGTTATTAGCATTCAGGCATTGAGAAACATATGCCACCAGAAGGTATAGAATTCAACAAAAAAAAAAACGTGCATACGCAAAAACAGGCTCATGTACCGTGACACTGCCAACCACTTACCCCTACAACTATACTATAATCATCGGAATACTCCGAAAACTTGACAACAGTACACCTTTTCAAAAAAAGTCAGGTGATGACCTAGACCATAATCTCAAACGCCATGTGGATGTTTCATTCGTAAATTCACAAATTCGGCAGCAGATTCGTAATCAACATAAAATTATACAAATTACGAATATGCAAACATCGTACGACATTTTTAACTAAAGCGACTGTATTTAACAGAAGAAGAATGAGTACTGATCACATTCTTTTACAAGTACCTCCTATTTATAATCTAGGCTAGAACAAGGGAGTTGAAAAGTGCAAACCTAAGCTACATGTGAGATCATCATCATAGCAGTGCCGTAATTTACATAAGAAATTCTTATCGTACATTCGGCCAAGATGTTTAGGAATGCAGCTTTACGTTTTCAAGAATTAGGGTGCAGAGGTCATTTAGAGGTCAGTCTCGTAAATTCAACCATTTTTTGTGGTGGTGGCGGCGATCAAATAGTGAGGTACTGAAAAGTAGCAAGGGCACGAACATCCCCACATAAAGGTCCAAACGAAAGCTTCAAGAAATCAAAAATGGATTGATCGAACCAGTGGTAGTAGTAGTAGTAGTAGTAGTAATAGTAGTAGCAACAGTAGTGGCGGGGTGTGAAGCTCAGCTCGCGTCCGTGGCCGTCACACAAGTGGCGCACCGAAGCATGCCACACGTGCACCCCGGATAGGTGCTAAACGAGCTGGGACCCCTGGGTTCTTGGATGACCAAGATCGGGTGACCAACCCCGGTTGCGAGAACCCACACCCAGGGCCAAGGGGTAGACCGGACTCCCAAAGCCGCGGTGAAGGCAGCCGGTCTAGGGATACTGACCCGAAGAATTCATAAGACGACCTGGCCGTGGACCACGAAACGTTTTTTGGAATAATGGAAGGACGACACACTAGAACGGATATGACGACAGGGCGATGACATGGACTCTCTATGACTTGATGATGACATGGCTACGAAACGGAAGCTCTGAGGGAGTAAACCCTGGAAAAAAATCCTCCCAAGTCCAAGGTGTAACACCATCGTGCCGAGGGGCTGCATGGCACAGGGAGAGAAGTGTGTTCTAAGCGATGCCTGGTGGACTAGGCGACCCGCCAGGGAAAATAGCCTTACTGCCACATGCGGGGCTCTGTGGTAGCGGACAGATTTCTTCCCTAGCTACTCGTGGGAACAAGATGGATAAACTTCAAAAAACACAATCTGAAAGACAGGATCGAGAGGAGGTTGACCCTTTCAAAAGAAGAGACAAAATGAAAAGGTCACCGCCTGGCAGGAACAGATCATCTTCGTGGTCTGATATACATAGCCAACAGAGAGGCACAGAAGAGAGCAACCAAGGGACGTCAAATGCAACTGAAGAAGTACTCAGGCGTAGAGTACCTTCCCAATCAGGAAAACGACGTAGAAGCGAAGAAGACAATGGTGAGGAAATGAAAAGGCTTATAGAGAAGGTGACGAAAACCGCCTCTACGTTAAGAGAGCTCATAAAGACTACTCCAAACACGCAGGGAGATATCAAGAAGGAGATTATGAGGCTGAACCAGATAATGGAGTCACTAAATCTAAAGATTGACCAAGAAAGTACCGAGAGAGACCGGAAGGCACCGAGAAAGGAAGCGAGCCCAAAAAGCACAACAAGCGTTGGGGTGCAAGTAAATTTCGCGGATGTAAAGGCGGAAATGGAAGAAAGAGAGTCTAAAGAGAGCAAAGAAATAATAGACATCTTAGATAAGATGCCAAAACTTTGAACAATTTGCGAAATTGCTAGACAGGAAATGGCCAGAACGAGCCTACAGGGCCGTCAAACATATTCATGGAGCTCCACCAGACATACCCGTAGAAGATGTCACAGCAATAATCGCGGACGCCAAACCGGCGAATATGAAAGGACTACTAAAGGAAATAAGCGGAAGGCACCCGGAAATAAGCGAGATCATGAAAGGCGGTGTAACAGAAGGCCAGTTAGAGTACTTCGAGAAGACCACAAAGATAAACTTCAGGAACAAAGACGAAGAGAAAAGCCAACTTGTTTACATCCTACCCATCGATATAGACAAAAATGGAGTAAACAACATGAAGGAGGTACATAAACTCGTAGAAGATAGCAAGAGAACGGTGCAGACTCATGGTCGGAAAAAGATCACCTTTATACCGGATGATGGGATAAACAAATCATACGTGAGGAAGATCCTAGAGTACGTGTTTAATAAAGCGGACATCGAGGTAAAGCTGATGACAGCCAGAGGAAAAGACCGAGAGCACAGCAGACCCTGGCCAAGTAAAACACAAGCCCAATCTCAAGCGGTGATCGTTAAGAAAGGGGGCCGGCAGTACGCCGATCTCCTAAAGACAGTGAAGCAGAATATCGATTTAGGGAAAATCGGTGTCAAAGTCAGGAACATAAGAGAGACTGCAAGAGGAGACCTATTGCTGAACGTGGAAGGGGGTGGTGAGAAGGCAGACTCCCTTAAAAAAGAAATTGCCGCCCAGCTCAAGGATGTAGGTGTCTCGCTAGCCAATAACGATGCCACTGTACACATCAGCGATATAGACCCTACAGTCACCGAGGAGGAGATCGAGGAAGCAATTTACGAGGCAACCCAAGTAGACAGAGCAGCACCAGTGAAGGTGTTGAATATGAGGCCCACCAGAGATGGAAATAGAATTGCAACTGTCAGGTTACCAAAGCATCTGGCGAAAGTCCTAAGCAACAGAGGCAAGCTGATGATAGGCTGGGTGGCATGCAGAGTCCGTGAGAGAATAGCTGTAACCAGATGTTACAGATGCTTGGAATTCGGACACACACAAAATGAATGCACAGGCAGGGATAGATCGGGAGAATGTCTGAGCTGCGGAAAAATGGGTCATAAAGCAAAAGACTGCCAAACGGACCCTTTTTGTTCTTCCTGTCAAGAAGCCGGTCACCGCTCCGACTCAACCAGATGTCCTAAGTATAGGAGGATGGTGGAGGATAAAGCAAAGAGGAGAGGCAGCTTCCGCAAGTAAAGTAAAGTAAAGAAAAAAAAAATGCCACGGACTGTCGAAGGTAATGCTACAAACAGGTTTAAACGAAATCTACGGAAAAGCCTGAGAATACTGCAAACGAACTTAGGCAGAGAAACAGCAGCCCACGATATAGCCTTTGCCACGGTAGCCGAGTATAACATAGACCTACTGATAGTGGGGGAACCCAATAAGACCATCATAAAAGCTCAAAAATGGATCAGCGACAAAAGAGGGGACGTAGCAGTGTACTTTAGAAATAGGGAAGTGACGGTTAAAGATATAAAGTACTACGACGGTTTTTTGGGCCTACACCTCGAGTTTTGCACCTTATACTGTTGCTACATATCTCCAAACATTCCGATAAATGAGTTTCAGGATCTGGTTGACAAGATAATATCTGAAATTGTCACATCAAGAAGGGAATGCGTGCTCTTGGGAGACATAAACGCAAAGAGCGTCGAGTGGGGGTCCCCATTCACAGACAGTAGAGGAACGTACTTTTCTGAATGCCTTGCTGCTGCAAACATGGTTGTGCATAACACCGGAGATAACCCCACTTTTGTTAGAGGTAGCACAGAATCCTATATAGATGTCACATGTTCGACACAGAAGATCGCAGCAAACATGAAGAAATGGAGCGTCCTCGATGAGGATAGCATGACGGACCACAAGTATATATACTTTGAGGTAGATAAGCAGCTAAGCAGTAAAAGAGCTCAATCCTGGGGCTCGACCAAGACTTGTAACTGGGAAGTCTTTAGACAGGTACTCTCGTCCAAGCTAGTAGAATACCCAGAAAAGCCGCATACAGAGGAAAACTTTACTGCCACCATTAAAGAAGCTTACCATGCTAGCCTCACTACTAATAACAATCATAGCGGAATGCCCTACTGGCGGAGCAACGATATCTCTCAACAGAGACAGAAGTGTCACAAGGCACGTAGAACCATCATGAGGCTCGTCAAACACAGGCACAGACATCCGGAAGCGATCATCGAAGAAGCTAGCTCCTTGTATAAAAGCCACAAAAAAATGCTTCAGCAAATGATCAAAGAGTCCAAGAAAAAACACTGGAACGAACTTTGTGACAGCATTAACGAGGACGTATGGGGAGACGGATATCGGATTGTCATGAAAAAATTCCGATGTTTCGCGCCCTATAGCATGACAAAAGAACGAAAGAAGGAGATCGCAGAAGAACTGTTCCCACCACACGCAGTTAGGAGCTACAGTACAGAAACGGTCAACAACGTAGGCATGTTCACGGAAGAGGAATTCGAACAAGCCATAGAAAAACTCAAAATGGGTAGAGCCCCTGGTCTTGATGGTATACCCCCAGAAGCAATTAAAGAGGCTTCGAAACTGTCACCAACCTGGGTATTGGGCTTTTTAAACAACCTTCTCACCACACAGAGCTTTCCGGAATCTTGGAAACGGGCCAAACTCTTACTGATAGGAAAAGACAAATACAGACCCATTTGCTTGCTCTTGATAATTAGCAAGCTATATGAGTTATTGATACTTGCTAGGCTACAGAAGGAAATCGATTACAAGGGTGGCCTATCAGAGTTCCAGTATGGTTTCAGAAAAGGTAGAAATACGTTGATGGCAGTGGACGCAGTCCTTAAAACCATTAAGGGCAGCAGGGAAACATGGGGCGTTCTCATCACAGTCGACGTCAAAAACGCTTTCAACTCGCTACCGTGGCAAAACATAATGGAGGAGCTGAAAACAAGGAAAATACCACCATACCTCCGAAATCTCGTAGGTGCCTACCTCAGTGGAAGGTCACTCCAGATAGCCAAAGAAGAGACCTTAGACATAACATCCGTGGTGCTTTCAACATTACTTTACGGCGCCCCAATCTGGCACGACATTATGAGCACTACTAGATACAGGCAAATGTTCAACGGAGTGCAAAGGAAGATGCTGCTGAGGGTGGCGAGTGCTTACAAGACGGTCTCCACCAAGGCCTTACAGATTATTACAGGGATAGCACCGATCCACTTGCTTGTGGAAGAAAGAGTGAGACTGCACCGCCGGGAAGATGGGAGAACCGCGAGGGCCAGAAGGGAGGAGCGCGAGGTCACCATCAGTAAATGGCAGGATGAGTGGCACTTAACGGAGGACGTGGCTCAGTGGACAAAAAAAATAATACCTGACATCGGGAAGTGGATTGCTTGCAAGCACAGGCGACTGGATTACCACCTAACGCAGGCACTAACGCAGCATGGTACTTTTCGAGTATTCACGAAGAGAATACAGAAATCAGACAGCGATGAATGCATGTACTGTCAAAAAAAAGACACAGTTGCACACACTCTCTTCGAGTGCAACAGATGGGAGCGACAAAGGGCACAAGTCGTTGTTAGTCTAGGACACGCTCTGACGGAGAGTAATCTGACCAGCACCATGATGGCGAACAAACAATCGTGGATACAAATACAAAGATTCATCAGGGAAATACTATCAATTAAAGACAAGGATGAAAGAAGAACGGACAGCCCAAACTCCTAGGACATATACATGGACATTTTACTGCAGAAACCGCTGAGGAAACGAAGACATGTGTGAGACACAGTCATGCTGGTAGTAAGCGCAGGCGAATCCCAGCATGAGGGTGGGGGAGGGGGTTTTAGCCCAGGTGGCATAACCTGAATGCGGATACTAGATATCGGGTCTCAGGTATCTCTTGGTGATTTCCCCCCAAGAAAAAAAAAGTAGCAACAGTAGTAGCAGTGGTAGCAGTAGTATTAGAAGTAGTGGTACATTTGTTGATAGAAGTGACCTAAAGACCCGCAGAATACTTATGGGGAATGGCTTTCGGCTAATTTTTCATGGTCTTCGAGATATAGGGCCTCAAAGCTGCGCAGCCCGTAACCTATCAACAACAGATGCAATAGCTGTTAAATGGTATGATGCTAAGGAACTTGACAGAGGACACTTCTTCACGTCTCAGGGGTCGGTGAGGGCGACTTGTTACACTTGGGCAGGTAGACCACGGTAAGAGAAAAAATGTAACAAATAGGAAAGCAGCAAATTTGACCAGTTCTGAGAATAAGTAGTGCCCTTTCTGGACAGCACTGTCTAAACTGATGATTGAATGCATTATGTAAGTACTTTGCAACCCTTGGAATTTGAAATAGCAATCCTTGAAAATGACTGACTGGCACGCCATTAAATCTTGGCGCTTTCGTAGATTAAATCACTCATTACTCGACAAAACATTATAGTATCTTTGTGATATCAATCTTTTTTCTTTGGAAATATCTAAATGAATGTGCAAAATATGAGGCACTGAGATTATATAAATTGATCGATTCTGATTTTTTCAAGCGGAATGTTCCAGAACTTATTTTATATTCGGATGAGTCCTTGTAAGAGACGAATGTTGATAACACATAGCGTTTTGGTGAGATTTGACAGAAAATAATCAGTAGGCTTCAAATTACTGTTACACGTAAACATTCTTACAGGAATTTTATGAATAATTGTTCATCTCCAGTTCAAAGACATTATGCACTTACGTTTGCATCGGTTTTTTCTATATATTTCCCAATTTCATCAGCAACCGTCTTTTTGCAAATCTGCACTTGTCTTCCAACGTCATTTGGTAGAGTGTCTATCTTATGCATAGCTTCGTCAATCATGCAAACGTCGGTTTTAATATTTTTATCTTCCATCTTGCTCTTCAGTCCTACAAGCGTCTTTCCAAAATCAAGCACCTGTTTTGCTGTAACAAAGTAACACTTGATTAGTACCTTTTTCTTTATTTATAACGTAATGTAATGTTCAAAGAGCCATAGTAAAGAGTGTCTAATATGTATGACTGTTTTGTTTCTCAAATACCTTTTGGATGAAACGGAATAGACTAATTTTTCAATCTTGGAATATCGCTAGATATACGGCCTAATTAAAAAATAGTTAAGAAGGTTCCTATAAATATGGGACCTAAACTAACCCACTAATACGGTACTGGGTTTATACATGTCTACGTCACTGCATGAGACTGAATGAGGATAAGACATGAACATTCTTCAAATACCGTCGTGGTGAGGTAGTGTTACTCTTCTGATACACCACCTAAAATTTGCAATGTCAAATCTCTTTAACTTTAGCAGACTCTTATAGAGCAGGTTGCAGTTTTTATACGGATTTTACCTCAAATATTCAAAGCCTAAAGGTGTAGTCTGATAAAAGTTCCTCAAGAGAGGCGATTCTTGTAGAATTGAATACCGCATTCAAAAATGCAGTAGATGTATAAAAAAAGTAAGAAGCGTACTATTATTTCTCTCAATACCTATTTATTATATTTCTCTTAATTCCTTTACAATGTTAATGGGACTTGTGTACACTAGAGTCTTAAGATAGCCTCACAAAAAGAAATCTAAACTGTTGAGGTCTGGGGACCTTGGTCGCCATTCTTGGGGCTCACCGCGGCCAATCCAACCATTTTTATCAACGGTTTGTAAATAATTACGAACGAATTTTTATGGTACACGCCTTGGAAAATCAATGGGAAGTAATGCCTGTACTGTATGGTAAGGATATAACAAAAAATCCACTAAAATTCTCCAAACAATTTGATGGTAAATATTTAAGTGTCTAGCGATCTTCCTCGTACTCATTTCAGGATGTTCTTCGACTTCATGCAGCACTGCTCCCTCAATTTCAGTTGTTCTCCCACTTAGAGGTCTTCCTTCAGATGTTCTTTTCGGACAACCAGTTTCAACAAGACGACGATGAATATTAGAAGAGGTTCGACTATCTGGCAAAGCACGATCGGGATATCTCTGGTGACAAATCCGTCTAGCGTGCTCACCATTACCGTCGGCAAGGCCATATACGTAATGCATTTCCGCCATTTCTGCATTATTAACAAGATTGTAAAAATTAAATAATGAAAAAGATGTCACATCGAACAGATTTGAATAACAGAGACTTGTCAGATGTCAAAAGCCAGTGACATATTCCAGAGCAACTGGATAATTATTGCTAAATTGCATTCTTCAATGATTACATTAATTTTCTCGGACAATAGAACGGTTTTAATTTTCTTTACTGAAAAATGGCGCATCGAAAGAAAACAATTCAGGAGAGATCATTTATTCTAAATTGAACGGGGAATTAAAAAATAACTGTTATTGGGAAAAAACTATTGGCGTACCATTTTTTTCTTAAAAACTATCGAAGTCAATACCCGTACGCACTCCACTGTTGGTTTAGTTAATTTTTCATGTAGATAAATATTCGCATATCATTAAGAAACAGCCTGTACATGGACCACCTACGAAATAAACGATTACTCGCTGCAACTATGCCGCGCAGAAGGTTTAAATTGCGCTGAACTTAATCCTTTATTAACTGATGACTGCGTTCAGCAGGAGGTGCAGAGTTCACCAATTTGATGCCATTTTCTTTTATTTGAGCAGCCAATGACTTGCGGAAATGATTCAAGTCTCTAAGATCATGAACATATACTAAGTGACATATAAATCCGAACATCCAGTTTAAATGGTTTTATTTTAATAAAATTTTATAGAAGTACTTAATGAAGCATAATAAGTAAATGATAAAAATTTTAAAATGATTCCACTGCTTTAAAGCCCTTTGACCTTTAATAATGTGTGGATGCACCCTGATGTGCTACGCATTCTCCAACGTGCCTAAGCATGCTTCTGATCAGGTGGTCAATGTCCTCCTGTGGTGTCTGATTCCAGGCAACCACCAACTCCTCTCGAAGTGCTTCTAGAGTCTGAGGAGGACGTTGCAAATTGAGCAATCTCCTATCGATCATATCCCACACGTGCTCAATTGGGGATAAGTCGGGAGATCTTGGTGGCCTTGGTAACAATGTGACATCATTATGTTGAAAGAAGTCTATTGTGACTCTTGCAACATGTGGTCGGGCATTATCTTGTTGGAAAGTTGGATCTGCCAGGGTGTCAAGATAGGGTAAAAGATGGGGTTCTAGAACTTTGTGGATATAACGCTGCGCGTTCATGTTACCTCTGATGAAGATTAAAGGTGACCTGGAACCATAAGCTATAGCACCCCAAACCATAACTCCAACAGTGTGATGAACATGTCTTTCAACAAAAAACTGTGGATTCCTCCTTTCACCACGTCGCCTTCTAACCCTGGCACGACCATCGTGCATGCCTAAACAAAATCGAGACTCGTCACTAAAGACAATACTGTTCAATTCCTGATCCCAGAGTGACCGTTGTCTGCACCACTCAAGGCGATTACGTCGATGTTCTCGAGTTAAAGGGAGGACCCAGTGTGGCCGGTATGAAAACAAGCCAAAACTTCTCATTCGTTGGTAAACACTTCGCTTGCCAATAGGTCTTCCGTGTTCTGCAAACCATTCATTTGCAATGGACCTGGTAGTGGAGAATCGGTCCCTTAAGGCCAATAATCTTAGGCGGCGATCTTCACGGCCTGTTGTTCTACGGCGGCGTCCAGTGCCCCTTGCTCTTTGCGTACGGCCTTCTCGAAGCCATGCCTGACAACACCTAACCACAGTGTCTACACTTCTTTGCACTCTAACTGCAATTGCCCGAAAAGAAAGTCCAGCTTCCCGAAGTCCCACTATACGGCCTCTATCAAACTCACTAAGTTGACGAAATCGTACAGGTCTCCGTACTCTAGGCATCGTAACCGATCGTAAAGGATGTCAAGAACCAAAATCCGCCAACGTTGATTCTTTACTGCGGCTGAAATATTCATTTTAGAGCGTTAGTGAATTAAAAAAAAGCAGTATAAATGTCCAACTGATAAGGCTGAAAATTTTTTCACTTGTTATTTACAGTAAGTTAAATACATTCACCAACTTTTATTAAGATAAAACCATTTAAACTGGGTGTTTCGATTTATATATCACTTAGTATATTATGGTTGACACAGTGAATGGGGAGAGCCACATTAGAAAACGTAAAATCTTCATCTCCATGGCTGAAAAGATGTTACCTGTTCTGGGTCCAACGTCCGTAGCTAAATCATTCACGTGTTTATCCATTTTATCAACACTATTTTTGATAGTTTGTAATGCGGCTTCAACCGCTGTGTCAACAACATGTTTCAGCGTCATTACGTTCTGTTCGAGAGTTTGGCCAAATAGCCTTTCCTCCTCGTCTTCGTCAAGAGTTTGAGCTTTTACCTGAAAATCGAAATTTAAGGATTACAGATAAGCTCCTCCCAAAAACAGAAATTGTTCGCTCCCTTTTTATAAAATCTAAGTAATTTCTCGAAAAACAATATAAAGCTGCTTTGAGTCATCATAGCAGTGGCGACGCGTGACTTTTCCTAAACTGTTACCAAAACCAGATGTGAAAAATCTTATTAAAAAAAGTTGTATTTTGTACCTCCCAAATATAAGTTTTTGCCTATCTTAGGTATTTTATTTAAACTATTTTTAAATTAAGATAAACATTCCTGGACTGAGCGTCTGGGGCATTTGATATACCTCATCGTCTTATCCTATGACTAATCCAAGCCGTCCGAAAAAGAGTCGACGTTTCTAGAGGTTCGAAAATTTTTGATCTTCTTTGGCAATGAATGTTAACAATTCCCTGAAATTTCCTCTATTGTCAGAGTCATCCCCTTCAAAATGAACGGTAATTCCTGTTTTGAAAAAAAACATACGGCATCTAGAAGTGTTCTGCCTAAAAGCTTGGTTAAGACAACTTTTGATTCTTGTTTTACCAAACTGAATTAAACTGGCTACACATCTCACATGTAACGGAGAAATTTCATGTCTCCTCTTTAGAGCCCTAAAACTATTTAAATTGTTGACTCCGCTGATGGTCCACCCATTTTTTTCTGTATAAAACAGATGACATCGCCAACAATACAATCTGTTTTTTTGCAACCACATAACTAAGAGTTTCCATATACCAAATTAATTCAAAATATCAAACTACGTTTTTTTATTCCTTTTTAAAATTATCTAAAATAGGTGTTGGTCTTCCATCTTCAATGATCTCCTTTTTTTTCTTAAAAATTATACAAGGAGAATGACTTTTCAAGTAGTTGATCGATTACGCAGCGACACTCATCCATGTTTAATTGCACGCACACTACAGCCGGGAACCAAAACATCTACGAACGAGTGAGAAGTGAGGAACCAAATCAAAAAATGGTAACAAGCCCACATAATAGTCGCAACGGCCCACCCACTCGGGCGACCGCGATCAGACACGAACCGGCTCCGAAGGTCCCCGACGGACTACCGAGTGTACCCATAAATGAAGATGGTAACAATCGCCAACCAAGTCAGCTTCATCGTATTCGCAAAACCTAGACAATATAGGGCGAATTATTTTCGTGGGGCTAATTTGCTATTTATTGAATTACTATTACATATCGCTGTTGGTGAATAAATAAATGAAATTATTTCACAGTACTTAATCATAAAATATTTATTTTTAAGATTTTTAACTGTTACCAATTGTAACAATGGTTACATGGACGCTTCATCATACTAAAGTAGTCGCAGTTACGTTGATTTCATTATAGCTTGAATCAACCGATTTTTTTGTTAGCGCGAGATTTCGTTTCCTGTTATTCGTTAAAGTAATCTCATTGAGTCAGGTTTAACCTGTATTTCATGAGTGATGATTACACTTCAAGGTACGTAGAAACCTACCACTTTCCACGCAAGCATACGTTCTTAGTTTCATCATAACTCATCATTTTTTTTAGATTCAGTAAGATTCGGAAAGAACTCCATGATTCTTTGGCTAAATGAGACCACATAAGTATTACGCAGTTCTATTAGTATCAAGGTGGGGTTCATGTCTGAAAATTTGGGCTTGTAAAAGGTAAATTAATCAACAAGGATAATATTTAACAAAAGTGTAATGTTTTATGGACAACATTTCGCAGTTTCATGCTAATCTATTTGATTCTTTGAATTAAACATAAAAATGTGGGAATACCGTAGAGAAGGAGTTGGTACACTGTGTGGTCCTTCACTCACGTTTACGAGAGGATATTGATAATGTTCGAGAAAAACTAAATTTAATACTCACAGGTAAAGATGAAGCCATAAGCCACATGAGATATGTAAACTTGGAAGTCATGATACGTCTGCTATTAAGCACTGTAACTAAAACAATCAACCTTTTTATTGTATGTAACAAACAAAAGAACATTATAGAAATAGAAAATGTTTAACAAAAGAAACTCGAAATTATGTGACTTAGACATTAGGCCTAGTTTTCCTGAAATCACCTATTGTGCGATACGGGTCTTATTTTTTATTACTTATTATACAGGGTGCTGCTTAATGATATGCGAATATTTAACGGTGTGAATCTACACGAAAAATTAATGTTAGTTTGCTTTATAAACTATGGCCCAAAAATGCTTCCTTACAAAAACTCGTGGTGTTGAAGTTTTAGGAAAAAAATGGAAATTAATTGATAATTTCAGAACCGCTTCAGATATTTCACTGATATTTAGTACGTAATGAAAATTAATATAGTTGCATATTTTTCAATGCAAAAATGATTTTTAGCTTTAACAGTGGCGTGCGTACGGGTAGTGACTTTTTAAGAAAAAAATGGTACGTCAATGTGTAACGGTTTCACCGTCCGATCGTATTTATTAAATCACTTCTCGATTATCATTTCATTAATCCCATCTCTAGCTTTTCTACTTGGAAAATTTTCCGCTTGGAGCGCTTGTTGCGGAGTTCCTGATCTGCGATCTTCCTCGCGCTTCCTTTTCCCTTGAGCCGCCGATCGAGCAAGAGTTAAAAATTTTCTTCTCTGTAGCACAAGGTCATATAGCACCATGTGCTAGAATTTTGTAGAATGTGTGTCCGTATAGGACAAAATGATTGGGGCCACCCCCTTTCTCTTTCTCTTTCCCTTTCTCTTTCCCTTTCCCTTTGCCTTAGTCTTTGACTTTGCCTTGCTTGGCCAATATTTTCACCCATGCATGTGCCTTGGCAGCGCCATCGCCTTTAACTTCGCCTACAACTGGTTATGAAGCCACTATATGTGAGGTCACCCCTCATAACTGGGACCTCCCCTTCAAGCACCTGGCCAGCCTCGCTTCAGTCGAGTCAAAATGGACCAGCGAAAGATAAGTTGATAGTTTTATAGCAGCGCCAAAGATGTAAAACTTATTTTGTTCTTTTAAACTGTAAAATTGTAATGTAATGGAAATGCTTTTTTTTTTGTTAAATAAAATCTGTTAAATTTTTGTGTTCTGTTTGTTCTTCTATCCTCTAGCCATGCCATGGTCGACACACAGCTACACGCCTGTAGATGTCTTCATGCCACCGAATGAGCTACCGGAAGCTAATTGTAACCCCCTTTCTGTGATTGTGCAGAAAGGTTGGAATCTTCATTGCATTCCATCTTTTCTGGACTTTTTGCGGAAAAGAAGCGTCACATAAATTGGCACCCGCAACGTGAGGCTTCGATAGGTGTTTGGCTTTGTCGACAAGTGGTTTGCTAGTGGAAGATTGGCAGACAGAACATAGTTTTCAAAATTCTTTACAATTTTTGGCAGCATTTCTATTTTTAATTGCTTTTGGTACTCAAATTTCTTATTCTTTAATCATCCTTACTTTTTGCTTAATGTTTAAATTTTTTATCAGAAGATTAAAATTTTTCCACCTGTTTATTTCATAGGTATACTATTAACTTTTAAATTGTCTTGTTTAGTAGTCAGCGAGATCATTGCCAGAATTTTTTTATCACATACTACTATAGTTTTTATTTACTGCTGGGGACAATTATAACTTTTTTCTCATTGTACTTTTGAGATTGATGATATTTTGATAATTTTTTGTTGAATATTGATAGTCTGGGGACTTTAGGTTTCCCAGCATTTTGTCGAATATCATCAAACTTTTGATTGAGGTTGTGACTATTGTTGTTGATAGTTAACATTTTCTTATATCCTTTTCATTTTTGATCACTAACCTCTTAGTTTTTGAAAGTATTTCTTCATGTGCAGTTTTTTGATTTCTTGAGACTTTTCATGTATGCATATATAGCCTAATTGTTGGATCTCTGGTGTACTGATATAGCTCTCATGATGTTTATTACGTAGGAAATTTACTTTCAAAATTATTTTTGCCTTCCCCAAATGTATTTACTTTTTGAATTTTTGACTGTACTTGAACTTTTGATCATTTGTTTTCATTCTGATGGCAATAATCTACTGACTAGAGTTATCTGGAGTAAATCATTTTGCGATTTATCCATTTGTCTGAATTGTATGAAATTGATATTCATAATTTTTCGTATATTTTGGCGTTTTACTTTTTTTTCAAGTATTGACACTTGGACATAGTGCGTTGATACTTACCTTTCTTGTTTTTCTTGACTATATTTTTGCTACTTTTCAATGGGGGGTGAGACTCCTAAATCATTTTTACCTATACAAAGACACACATACTCATTTATGGTAATTAAATGTCAACTTGTTGTTTAAATATATAGTATACGTTCCTCAGTAACTATTGTAGTAATTTTGTCTCTTGTTTGGTGCATAAGTTTTCATAATTTTAATGTTTTATAGTTTTATCTGGCATATTCTTTGGGGGAAATTAGAACATTAGTGTCTGATTTTCCATTGGATTAACAGGACTTGAACGTCTCTGTACTTTTTTAATGTATGTCAGATATAAAATAATTTTTTTAAGATTTGGCTGCTCCTGTTTTTGTTTTGAAACTTTTTGTTTGTATTGTTAGTTTTTTATAGTGTTTTGGATCCTTGTCATTTATTGATGTATTCAGGTTTTTAACTTTTTTTTTAAATATAATAATTATAAAAAAAAATCCGCTCAATCGAAGGGGGCGAGTTTTTCGATCTGTACATTGGAGCGAGTAGGTTTTCCTATATTCATTTCCTAGTACAGATGCGAACGGATAAGAATTTCCTTTGATAATTGCTAAGCTAATTTACTGTAAAAGGCAGTTGAATGTTTACTTTGGACATTTGTCATCGCTGATCCTTCAACCTTTTGAAATATTACAATTTGTCCAATACTCATATTTCCGCTCAATCGAAGGGGGCGAGTTTTTCGATCTGTACATTGGAGCGAGTAGGTTTTCCTATATTTATTTCCTAGTACAGATGCGAACGGACAAGAATTTCCTTTGATAATGAATAAACTTATTTGCTGTAAGAGGCAGCTGATTGTTTACTTTGGACATTTAACATCGTTGATCCTTCAACCTTTTGAAATATTACAATTTGTCCAATACTCATATTTCCGCTCAATCGAAGGGGGCGAGTTTTTCGATCTGTACATTGGAGCAAGTAGGTTTTCCTATATTTATTTCCTAGTACAGATGCGAACGGAGAAGAATTTCCTTTGATAATGATTAAACTTATTTGCTGTAAGAGCCAGCTGAATGTTTACTTTGGACATTTAACATCGTTGATTCTTCAACCTTTTGAAATATTACAATCAGTCCAATACTCATATTTCCGCTCAATCGAAGGGGACGAGTTTTTCGATCTATACATTGGAGCGAGTAGGTTTTCCTATATTTATTTCCTAGTACAGATGCGAACGGATAAGAATTTCCTTTGATAATTGTTAAGCTAATTTTCTGTAAAAGGCAGTTGAATGTTTACTTTGGACATTTGTCATCGTTGTTCTTTCAACCTTTTGAACCATTACGTCAGTCCACCATTTACAGAATTTACAAGTCATAATTATTTTTCTGATTCCAATTTAATGTGTATACTTCATCTTTTGAATATTTCATTTTTCTGAGTGTACTCAAAATTTAAATTGCATTCCCGATCTAAATCATGTGACAAATACTGTGTATAATATTTTATAATGTTTTTATGCGTATATTTTCTGAGTTTCTTTTACATACGTACGTACTTCTATTTTTGAAGTCTATTACTTTTGAAGTTTTTGATAGTATTCTCTTTTTGAATTCATTATAACTTTCTTCGAGAGCACAGACTTATATTGATTTTTGGTTCAAACTTTTGATGTTTGTTCACATATTTTTGAGTGGTTTTGAACTTTGACAGTATTTTGTAGTCTGGATAGTAACATAGATTCGTTGCGATGTATGCCTTTGAGGGTCTTGTACTATCCACAGTTTCTTTAATTGAAAGTGTTTTCTTCATATGCATTTTATTTTCTTCTTGAGACTTGTCATATATGCTTTCCGCCTAGTTGCAAATCTGTGCGTATTGATAAACTCTTGAAATCTCTGGCGTATAAGTAAAACTCACTTTAGATATAGTAATTTATGTCTCAGTTCAATTCAATCAGTTCAATTTGATTTGAAGTAATTGTCAACTCCTTCTTGAGATTTTTCATATATGCTTTCAGCCTTTGTGCACATTTGTGCGTATTGCTAAGTCTTGAGCTTGGTTGCGACATTGCTTTCATGTTTCCCTATAGATTTTGAAATATCTGGTGATTTTGCTTTTGCATTATTGCATTTGTTTTGATAGTCTGCTCTCATAGTTTTTTTCGACTTCTTATTTCTTTCAATTTCTGTCTTGACTTGAAGTAATCGCCAATTCTTATAGATTCAGTATAGTAATTCTCTTTTCATACTTTACACTGGTAAATTATTATAGTTTTTCTAATCTTGTAATATTTCATATTTGAACTTAAATTTCATTTTACAATGATATGGTTATTCTCAGTGTAGACTTTGAAGTGCGCGGATGATATCAGTGATCTACATGATAATATTCCATAGACTATAGACATTCTTGTCTAGGGCTTTGGAGTGCACCTATGGTGACCCTAGAAAGTTGTCTTTCTCTCATATTTTTGCTTTAAATCAAAAATCGAATTCTTACCTATCATATTTATTTCTATTTCTTGTTCACTAGATTGTTGTTTTATAACTCCAATTTTGCACCTACATATATCGTAGACTTTTGCATACAACTTTTGATTGCAGCATTACTCTCATGTATCATGATTTATTAAAATATCTTGTGATTTTCGTTTCGCTATTTTGCATTTTACATATGCTCACTTCGTTTCTCAATTATTACTCATGAAACTTTTAATATTTTGCTTACTTTTGTATTTTTTCTGAGAATTCTTTATAAAATCATGCTCATATAGCTTTGATATTTCCTTTCACTTCAGAATTTTTTTTTGGTCCGGTTCTTATGTTGTCACATGACCCGAAAATTTTGATTGAGCTTACTCTTGAATTTTAGTTCATTGATTGAACTTAAGCTATATTT